GCCTGGCTCCCTATAGAATACTATAACTTACTATTGTATGTGTGCTTCAAAATATCAGACAATTTCTAAGTAGTTATGCTAACAAAAAAAAAGGTGAAGCCATTTGACATCACTAGTGAAGTCACTAGCATCACTTGAAGTGCTAGTGCACTAGCAATAACAGGGTGACTCATCAGTTTCTGTCATTTACGCTTCTCCCCAGTAAGCCTCTACATTAGATACGACAAGAAAGATAAGCAGAAAATAAACCAGGCCTCCAAGACCTCTCTTCTCACCCTAGGGACCTGGAATGTCCCCAGGCAATCCCACCCTGACAGACAAGCACGTGCCAGGGAGAGAGCTCACCTGGCTGAGGCCTCCTGCATGTACACAGCATCATCTTTCTTACCCCTCGTTTGCTTTTCTTTTTTACACCCCCCTGCCCGTGTCTTCGTTACGTACGTGTTCGTGCCCTGAAGGTACCGTCACATGCTGTTGCACACAGGAGCTGGGGCAGTAGTGGTAACCTCACAGCTGTGGCATTTGCTTGCCAGATCTCCAAAGCGCATAGCTCTGCTGGCAGCAATGGGATTGTTATGAATAGCCGTATCAGTTGTGGATCTGGCACAAAATATCCTCAGGCAATGATTTGTTGTAAGAGGGATAAAAGAAGGTCAAAGAACTTTATAATCTGACATGCCATAAATGCAACATGACTGCGCATATGGTTGACTTCCTGCACAGTATACCTAAATGCGGGCGCAGCTGCTACAGATAGCAATGACTGTGAAATCAGAGACTTCTGAAGCCAGAGTTGTTAAATCACGGTACTTGATTAGTGTTGAAGTATGGGACAATGAAGGGAGGCTTCTTTGCAAGAGTACGGGCCCTGCAAGGAAGCCTACCAGGTAGAGGGACTGTTGTTGGAAGTGTAAAGCAATGCAATGCCCATCTCAGTGAAGCGGGTTTGGCTAATTCACACTACCTGACAGTTGGGACCAGCTCAGCGTGCACCGATGGGCAGTTACTACAGCTCAGCTGAGTCTTGATGTGTTGTGGACAGCCCTACATCCACCCTGCAACTAAGGGTTTTTTAGAACCACACAGAAGCCCAGGGTTAGGTTCCTAAATGGCCGACATCTAGGCACTGAGGTGCCCTAATTTCCCGATCAGTCTGAGCACTCATGCGGTATTTAACATTTTGCAGGCTGTCTCTATTAAATAGTCATTGACCATAAACTTAAGAGAGACACTTCAGCTGTAACATTAAAATAAGTAGGGATGTCATTCTGCAATATGGGCAAGCAAAGGTTGGATGGAGTGATCCCTACAGAAATGACTCTGAGGCTCATTGCGGAGAAAAGTTGGAGCTGTGGAAGGGACTACACAGCTTACCCGTAACAGTGGATTTCCTGACTGAAACTGTATTGGAGATAGTCTTGCACACTTTGTAACAGCAGCTGTGTTTGATATTCTGCACTGAAATAGTCTTGGAAGATTTCACTCCTTCATCACTGTTGCGGAGCCTGTGGACAAATTTTACATAGATGCACAGGAACAATCTTTATGGACATAACTTCTACTAATTTAAGGTGGCTGATGTATCTGGTGGAGAATTAGAGCAACAAAACCTTATGACCGGCAGTGTCACTTTTACCTCTCCATTCATCAGTCAATATGACAAGATTGAAATATTTCATGGCTTTAGGGCATTTCAAAAAATAAGAAACCTGATGCTTGACAGTGCTAGCTAAAAACTTTCAGATGTACCTCCTGTGGATGTACCTCCCAGTTCTGACTCATGTAACCAACACATATGACTTCATCTGTATATTTTCCACAATGTCACTATTTCTTTTAGTACATGCTGCCTGAGATGTGTTTGGAGTGGAACAGTATTGTGGTTGGCTTCAGTTGAGAAATCTTCAGTTGAAGGAGATGTACATGGTACCGTCTCTTATCAAGCAGAGAAGAGAATGATGAGCTTGAAGCGGAGGTGGCAGGGCAGGTAAAAACTGCCAAATTTTTTGCGTCACTTAAAGTAACAGAAAGAAGTCACTCACCCAGACAAGGATAAAGATCGGAGAAGGTAAGTTGGATACGGAGGCAGAAGGAGCTGGACTGTAGCAGCCCAGGTGCAGTGTCCAGCTGCCAAGCTGCATTTCCCTCACACCATAGAGAGACCCCAAACTCCAAATTTAACATTGCTTTCCTGATAGCAAGTATCTGTGAAACCTGCTGGTAAAATGGGCACTCCATCTGCATTGATAGCAGGGCCAGAGACCAGGACAAGGACAACCTGCTGCTGGGAGAAGCTCCTCAGAGCCTGCGGCAGAGATCTAGGTGATAGATACGGGAATCCTTTGGCATTAGCTTGCCATGCCTGTGTTCATCTGGTTCAAAATGCATCAGCTGTAGTCTACATTCCATGTTATAACACTGATAAAGGAAAAAATTAAAGTTGGATGGAGGATTTAGCATGGCATTCTTTAAACCCGTGCTCTCTTTGTATAACGTAGCTATAATAATATACTTTTTATGCTAATGTAGTTAGCATAGTTTTTCTAATAACTTAATAAGAAGGTGGTTTTTTTCCTGCAAGGTGCCGAATAGTCTCTTTTTCCTTAAGTCATTGCAATTCAGGATACCGTTCCCTTGCAAGGTGGGCCCTGTTTTCCAAGTACAGGCAGCATTTGAGGAGGGCCAGTTTCAGTTTTATTCCCCTGGATTAACATTACACATGCTGAAAAGAGAAGCTAGTATAAAAAGCAATTGAGATGAGTTAAGAGAGTTGGAATTTTCTTTGCTACTGTATTGCTTCTGTTTTACACCTTGGCCATTTCATTTGTGAATGATTAATTAAGGTCTAAGAGATTTGATTAGGCAAATGCGCTGACTCAAAACATAATAGGAATGCAGGAAGAAATGAAAGGGAAGAGGCACATTACGCAACACATTTTGCAATAAGCTTATTTTTGCTAGGTCAAGGTAATACACTTTTATTAGCTTGTGCTAAATGCATATGGCTGGAATGATGACTGCAAAATAAACCTTAGAAATATCTGTATTCAGACGAATACAGATGTTCAGAATAACATAGAAACAGGATTCATTATGCCTCCAAACATACTTTGTATACCTGAAGTAACAAAAGTGAAATCTGTTGACAGAGGATTTAGACCCTAAGATATGAAGCGATGGCTTAGGTCTTCAGACTGTTAGCAAGAGAAAAATGTTGAGCTCCTCACCACTGAGAGATCCCCCAAATCCTACCTGGGCATCAGTATCCACGTGTTTCTTGTACCCTCACTGACTCACTCTATCACCACCTGGAAAGACTCCCCTGTCTCCTCTCGTCCCTAGTGATAGGGAACATGTCTCCAGAGCATATTTGCCATGATTTTGATCCCCACCTGGCCCTGCGTAACTGGAACTTGGAGTTTACTGTTGGCACAGGGCACATTTTGCAGGTGGTTGCTGTTTAAGGGCAGCCTTATAGGCAACACTGGTGAGACAATCTAGGCTTGCTGACTTCAATTCTCTTTGACTGGTAGGCTGGCAATACTGCAGGGGGGAAAAATCAATCCTATTATGCTGGCTTTTCTGGAGATTGAATTAGAAAGAAGCATGTACAGAAGCTGACAACTGTTCTTACTCCTCGTGAGTAATCTTGACTGCTCAGATGTTTCTTGGAAGGGCATCTCTAGTCATTAACTTCTTACCAGGAATTAAGGCAGGTACATTTGGTCCCATGACCAAACCTAAGTTATCATAAATAATAAAACAAGGACTGGGACATTGGTAAACTTGGGAAATTCCTGAAGGACTGCTTTATTTTAAAACAAGATTTACATGCGGGTTCTCAGGTTGAGTTGAAGACATTGAAGGGCCTCAGCTGAATATGTTGTAGGAGGTTTTCAATAGGAATAGTGAAGCCACTGGATGTTTGAGGAAAAGAATGTAAAAACAAGTAAATTAATTTGTGGCCATGGAAAGGAAAATTGAAAATATTTGGCATTCCTAAATGTTTTGATTCAAACCTGAGCTATTTATTTCACTCTGATGCTTTCACATTTCTTAAGGTCACTTTAAGCTTTCAGTTTGAAAAACATTAATGATGATTTCTACAGATTCAAAATTTTTCAAAAAATAATTGCAAAATACATTGCAATTAATTGTCATTAATTGAGAACTGCCTCTTTCCTGCAAGCGACTTTTATTTTGATGAATTCACATATTCTTGGAAAGATTTAAAAATCTTCAACCACTTCTAGTCATGAAACATGCAGGATTCAAGCCAATGTTAAATATCTATTTTAAATTTGCAATTTTTGTTGTCTATACTCCCTCATGGAGACATGTGACAGCTTAAAAATTGATTTGTCTCTAAATGCATCTGTTTTTAAGATGCCTCAGGCGGAAATTCTAAAATGTTCAAAAAACTAGTTCCTTAACATCATAAAATTCAAACATTTGGAATCAATTTGCACTTTTGAAAATTCAGGCTGTTGTTTATTTGGTAAAACAAAACCAAAAATATTTCATTCACATAAAATAAGACACTGTTTTTGTATTCATAAAAAGTATTTTAAGATGTAGCTTTTTCCTTGGAAGCTAAACCAGCTTCCAGCAAAGTGTAACTTACAGAATAATCATATTAAGCGTATTTTAAGGCAACATATAATGTTTCTTCTTGTAATTTTCCACAATTAATACATTTTGACTATCACCTCATTACTTTATCTGAAGAGCTAATAAATGAAAAATGACATGCATTTTCCATGACTTTGCATTTCAGTCATTTATCAAGTTACCTCTAATAGTTCAGTTGCCTTTGTTAATTACCTGGAAAAATCAATATCCGATAGGACTCCATGGTGTGTGGCAAAGTATATAAGCATGAAGTTTGTATTGCTTCATGTCAATTTGTCACTTCAAACCATCTGACTGAGAAGTGACTCTCAAATCCTCCTGTCGTTTCATTGTTATCTGATTTGCAGGAATCCAAGACTTAAGCAACCATGTCCAACACTAGTGAGACAGAACTCATTCACATGTTTAAGGGGATTCTCTTTACCGCTAGGTCTTCTCCAGAACTTTTGAAATCCTTGGATACTTTTGATGCTAGAGAAGATGATGTCCTTTTGGTTTCCTATCCCAAATCTGGTAAGTTCTACTTTTAGATGTTAATTGCAAATCTCGATTGTTTGTTTCATGTTCTCTGCTTAAACTACTTGGGAAATGTCTGTGTACAAGAAACAGGGAAGGACGTTTTAGTATGTGAATATATTATTCTGTCAGTAAGTGTTCAAATTATAATAAAAATGCGTCATTTATCTAAATTTTGATTCTTTAATTGAAAATAATCTCAGGTGTTTTCATACTGGAAAGCAAATAAATATTTATTTCTTGTAAGCAAAATTTGTACTTGAAGGATTTTCCTGAGGACTTTCTACATTCATTTATGAGCAAGTCAAGAGTTATATTAAGTTATTTGTATGGCTCTTCGCTGTAGATTTATTCATTTCTTATTCCCTCTCCCCCCGCCTTACTTGCATACAGAAGCACACACCAAGAAGAAGCTCAATCAGTACTACCCAAATATACAGACTCGAGCTACTATAACGTAAAAAACCCCAGGCTCTTCTAAAATTAATAATAAAAATAATATAACCACCCCTCAACTGACAAGCAGTTTGTCTCATGAGAGTGTTTTGGTACCGATATTAACAATTCGCACAGAGTTACTCTGTACTTCAGCTACAGCCCTAATTTTTCCAGTATTTATACATTTGGAGCCAACGGGATTATTCAGTTATGTAAAGTTTCTTGAATCTGAAGGATTAGAAGTATCACTTGCGCATTAGCAAGCTGCTTCCGTATGCAAAAAACGCATGTTCCACATATTTTATCAGTAACAAATCTTCCTTTTTTTCTTTTTTTTTTTTTTTCCTTAAAATTACTTTTCTGCAGGCACTCACTGGCTTGCAGGAGTTATAACAAAGCTTTACAATGCTCAAGTTACAGTAACATCTCCCATTGAATTTGGAGACATATCCAAACTGGAGGAACTGAATAAACTCTCATCGAAGAGAATCATCCCAACGCACCTAGACTACAACATGTTACCTCCAAATTTTAAGAATAAAAAATGCAAGGTAAGGCAAAAAGATATAAAAGCAGTAAGATATGTTAAGTGTCTGTTAGAAAGTTATTTTGTCTTGTTGATCCTTAATAATTTTTAAATTATTTACAATTTCCAGAAGTGGTTTGCAGTGAATTTTGGAGACACAGCTGATCAACAGTCAAAGGCAGCATGAGCAGAGACTTGGGCTAGGGACTGGGTTCTGCTCCTGCCCCACTGCTCCCATGGGGTTATTTGAATGAAAAGCCAAAATTTATGTTTTGCAGCTGTCCTGTGAATGTTAATTAGTAAACGGTTTCACATGTTAGATTTATGAGATAGTATACTGACTCATGAGTTAAAATGAATGCTCATAGAACATAAACAGTACCCAGCTGCAGGAAACACACCTCTGTCCACATGGAATTATTTACTAACCACTACTGACTTCTGCCTAAGCAGGGACAAATGCATTTCTATCTTAATGGCATGGTCACCGATGGAGGAATCCTAAAGGAAAGGGTTTTGACACTGCAAACTGCCTGTGAAAATGCTACATTTATGCACAGAGCTCCTCTAAAATAAAGGAAGACTATCGCCATTAATAACCGTATAATCTTCATTTGCAGATGATCTACATCAGCAGAAATCCAAAAGATACCGCCGTTTCCATGTATCATTACTACAGAGATAATCCAAACCTTCCCACTATTGACACCTGGCCTGCTTTCTTTGACTTGTTCTTAAAAGGAGATGGTAAGGATAAATGTTATGTTTTCTCCTTGCAGTTTACATTAGCTTGTTACGCACAGAAAGAGTTAAGAAACGTGAACTGTGTGAAAACTCCTTATTGCACTCGTATTCATATGGCTTTAGTTGGGGTTTTTTTCAGGACAAATTCTAATGCCAAACTAAACAAGAGCAAATAATAGGATGCTATCTTCAGCCCTGCAAGGAGACATTTTGATAAGCGGCCGCATTATTTCAGCACAACGGCTCTTTGCAGGTTTTTGCTGTTCTTTGACATAGCTGTTAAAAAACATTCTCACAGACAAGCTACTGATTTCCTTTCTTCCCCCAAACACTCTGAAACCCCTGACAATTTGTTGATTCTGATGCGGATTTGCCTGTGTTAAAATATTTCCACCCTTGTCTTGCGAGCCGCAATAACAGACTGCTTCCTACCAAGAACTGACGTTTAAATTTTGATAGAGGAGGTATGCGTATACAGCTCCTCCCAAGCAGACGTAAGGGCAGCTGGGCTCACCTCAGCCAGCTCCTGTCCTTGGTGAGCAGGCCAGCGGGGCCGGCGCTCTGTTTGAAGGTGCTCAGCCAGCTCTGTGTGGCTCCCTGCCACGCTGAAGTGCAGGCAAGGGGGAGACCATGCCCAGGCTGCACTGAGAGCTATGCTTGCAGGCATGGTGTCCTCTCCCATCTTAAAGACAGCCTTGGGTGGCCCTTCAAAGGGAGTCCAGATGCTTTCATAAAGCCCTCCTGCACACGCTCTGCCTGATGCGTTGGCTTAGTAGCAGGGTCCAAAGACCAAGGACAAGAGTGAGACTTTTATGAGTGGCAGTGCTGGCATGGAAGCTCACAACAGGGCCATGTTCCAGTTAGCCACTCCCATTTTTAGTGTTTTACTACTCCTTTGAGGACATCTGTTCCTGCTATACAACCATAAGTGACGATAACAGCAACAATGATAGATCAGCTTGAAAACTTTGAAAGAAAATTGCCATTGCAGTCATCACAGGCTTACATGAAAGATCCAGAAGTCAATTTGTCTACTGGCTTGTGTGGGCTTTGGCTCAGCTCTTGTGTTCCTAGCCCAGAGCCGCCCTAAGGCATGTGCTTCAGTGATTTGCAGGATCTTGGCTTGTTTAGTATCAACTCTGAACATACAATAGTGAAAAAAAGAGAAGAGGATTATATTAAATGTTAAAAGCATCTCCCATTTATCTGTAAATTAGTCTCCACCTTCTATTTTCTGTGTGCTTACGCATGGCATAAAAGGATAACTAAGTTGATTACAATAGAAATTTATGTAAGAGGTGATAGTGAGAGAGAGTTTGTCATTTTTGCTTTTAATAGAAACATATGAAGGCTGTGCTGCTTGATTCAGATCCTGTAGCACTCTTGCAGAGTTAATCTCCGTTCAGAACAAGGGTGAGGACACACAGAGACAACTGAGATGCTGTCCCTCGAGTCTCCGAGACTGTATGCTGTGCCCCTGAAGCCAACAGGGCTATTCTGTGCTATTGTTGGCCACATCTCCAGTGTGGTCGACCAGGAGAGCAGGGTTTCATTGTACCCTGTGGAGCACACATGCCTTGAAGTTAGACAGTGCTTTATGTGCAGGAGGCAGCTATAGACTGGAGCATTCAGCAAAATACTTAATTACATCTCAAGGTTTGCAACCGAAATGATGCCCATTACAATATTATACTTTTCTGGTAGGAGTTATAAAGCAAAGTCACAGTTCTGGAGAATGCTGGCTGCGATTGCTCTGTCCAAGCCTCTTCTCATCACCCTACAGTAGTCTTTCAACTCGTCTTTCAATGCAGTCCATCTTGTCCTTCAACCAGAAGGGACAGAATTTTGTTTTTTAAAAGCAAGCTGAAATTTAGCTCTCCCCCCATGGTTCAGCATTTAGACAAAACAAGTACTATGAGTCGACTATAAAACCATAAGCTATCTATGTCATTGGCTGAATGATGTATTTGCATAATAAATTGTTTATTAAATAATTCTTCTTTGACTTTTAAAAATAATACAGAATTCTCCTCTGCTGGACAAAATAGAGCTAACAGTAGCGTGCTCCATTTCACAGACTCGTTATTTCATTTCCTAGTGAAGTGATCGCATTTCTAGCTGTGACCACAGACATGCAGTCATTTGCTGAGATGCTCAGATCTTGTTAGGCCAGTACATTTTCCTTCATTACTGGCCTTTCCTTAGATTTGGAGCCTGTTTCCACTACAGAATTATATCTCAGAATAGTATCTGCATCTCTGATACAAAACCAAATTCCAACAAAAATGGTAACCTCTTTGGATTGTAAGTTTGAGTCACTTCACAAAAAGAATTAAATCTGTTTTAGAGGAATAGATGGTTCACACTAAGAAGAAGGAGATCATTCCCCTAAATGTGTGAGGTGCAGTCAGAGTTATTTATGAATAAAGTTTATATGAATCTCTTTTATACGGGTTTTCTTCTCAGTTGTCTGTGGATCCTGGTTTGATCATTTCCTAAGTTGGGAAGAACATGAAAATGACAAAAACATCCTGTTTTTGTTCTATGAAGACATGAAGAAGGTAAATATGCTCTCTGCTCTTATTTCAGAATGCATTACTTGTAAATTAACATCATTAAAGTATCAAAGAGCAAATTATAATGAAAAAGGAGAAAGAAGAAAAATGTGAATGTACGTGTTTGGGCATATTTTATATTTGCATAGAACTTTATATTAGTGAACTAATTCTGACTGCACAAGTTATATAAATATCAAATCCCATGAGATTTGCATTTCATAGATGTAGGAGTGCGACACATATTATATTATTTTCCCCAGGCTACAAGAAGAATTTTAAGTTCCTCATTCTTGGTCCTATGGAAAGACCAACCAAGGACATCTGTTGAGGGCCACACATTAACCTTCTATGCCTGACATTTCAGGTGGAATTTTCAAAAAGTGATGTAAGACAACAGAACTACTCATGGTCAGTGGGACATGTGCTCCCAATAAACAGGAAAATTAGAGACTGGAGGGTGTAGGAAAAAAATTTTCAGGAAAAGAAATTATTATGAGAAACTGCTTTGCTATTCTTAAAAAAAGTCAAATACCAACATATCTTCGCTTTCAGAGAATGAATTTTTGGGTGAATAGAAAACACTTTCTAGTGTTTCCATTAAAATAGTTTTGTTCATTTTGGGGGAAAATAGGAATATAAACAAGCCATTTTGGATCCTGAGTCACTTGTTGGATCTCTAGATATAACACCTCTAATGAAATAAGCTACTTTGCACAGAAGCTGAGCTTTGAGTATTTCTCTATTCCCAGTGAAATAATTCTAAGAGACAGGAGAACACTTTGCCTGAACTAGGAGTAAAATTGCAATGTCACCGTATTTGATATCACATACTCAGCATTTACCTGTTTCTCTGAGTATGGGCAAAAGGGGAATCAGGTTTACTGTACCTGTCATCTACACAGGCCAATGACATGTTTAGCTTTGCTTGAAAGCAAATAAATGTGTGATAAACCTGGTATGTAATAAAAGGGATCTTTTTCATATCAACTAGAAGTCTGATAATCAGCTCAGAAATATAAAAGCTTTATTTTTCTTGTACCTCAGAATCTTCCTAAGATTGTAAAGGAAATTAGTCTGTTCCTGGGTTTAAACGTCAGTGATAATGATATCCAAGACATCTGCAAGAAGTCCTCGTTCTCACAGATGAAAAGCGACACAGAAAAGGAAAACAGCGATCCCAGTCACACCGTTTGTGCACTGACGTCCAACAGGAAGCTGATTTTCCGAAAAGGTAAATTCCCTGGGCTGGGCTTAACACAGCAGAAGGAGTGGGAATCCAGCCAGAGGCCGCAGTCCGGGCCTTTCCCAGACTGTAGTGACGCTTTGTGTCACTGGGAAGCAGTGACAGGATTCTTCAATTTGAAGCCGTCTTAAAAATCACTTTCTTTCTGAGTTCTCTGGTTGCAAATGTAGGCTTATACTAGAGAAGCTCGAGGAGTCTGAACAACAGTCTGACACCTATTGCTCTCTGTGAGCTTTTCAGCTAAAAGGAAAGGTTCACGAAGCATTACTCTCTATCTGTCTTTTTTTATCTAAAAGTTGACCACCTCAGTCTTTTACAACATGTAAAAGACTCTGATATCGCCTGTGAAGGTCACTTAGTTTACCATAATGCGAAAGAGCGAGACGCGTTCCTTATTACAGAGACTGCTTGTAGCCTTTATCTTCCTCACCACCTCTTATCTTATTGAAATGTTCCTGAAAAAGGAATATGCTGACAAGGACAACAATGGAGGAATGGATGACTCGGTCACCTGATGGCCTCATAGGCAGCCTTCAGACCTTGGCCGAGCTGGAATCCGTGGTAAAATCTTCAACAGTGCTTAGCTCAGATGCGACTTAAAAATACATGCAGGAGCTGTTTCTTGCTACTGACGTTTCAGAAGCTTGCTCAGATTTGGATAATAAGTCAATCAAAACCATCATGTTTAGATAGATTTTGATTATTTTTGCTTAGTTAATTTTTGAACAATAATTGACAGTTTAAAACTAAGAGTTGTTTCAATTAAGAAAAACTTGTTTTCATTTATAAATAGGGAAATGGTACATTTTGTTAATTCAGAATGTTTTTACCAATGAGCTGAAGCAAACGCCAAAATACAATCTGTCAGTAAAAAGCAAACAAACAAACAAAAAGCTCAGGTACACTTTTCTAAGTCAGTGAACTTTAACAAAGCTACGTTGAAAAATTTGAAAAATCCCAACAGTTTCACTTCCAAGTAGTTCCTATGCAATTCCCAGGGGTTTAGCCAGTTTCAGCCAGTTTATGGAAGATTTGTACACATATATTATTCTTCAGGCTCTTTTTTCTTGTCCTTGCTGTCTGGAACGCTGTTTTGGTCAGCAGTTTTGGGATGCAGCGTCTTCAGATGATGCACATGAGGGAAGACTCTAAGCATTGCCTCATTAAAATATGTCGGTTTAAAAAACAATTTCCAATTTACTCAAACTGGGTAACAGTTGAAACACTTTACTGAACACAAGTGTGCATGGTCACCCAGAAGTAGTTAACTGCCCACTTAAGCAGTGGGACATCTCATCTGTAGAAAGCCCTAGAGTTTAGGAGTGGGTGTGAGGGTGGGATTCATCTACCAGGTCATTCTGGGCTCCTTTTTTGGGAGTCTTCTTTAGTCAATGGAGACACATGGCTAGTTTTGGGGCACCATTCATTGATGAGTTTCAGATGTTGACTAGGATGAGATGGGTTTCAGCCAGGAGGTAACCATTTCCCTCTACTGACTGTGGAGACCTTTAACTGTATATATCGAAGGTGTGGCAAGATGCCTCTCTGCTGAGATGACCAAGAGCTCTAATTCCACCCAGGAAACCTGCTGCTCTTCATGTGCCACTTGGTGTTGTTGGCACTAAACAAGTCTGAGCCTGAGGATTTAACACCCTTTATGGACGATGATCCAGCTGCTTCCATCAGAGTCTCACCAGGCCAATATAACAATTAGTCATGATCATGACATACCGCAGGGACTATGGTTAATAATATATTAATAATTTGTGCCAACTGCAACATTAACAAAACTAGGCTGCCTTTAAATCATTTTCTGCACTATAAATCGCTAGCGTCACTGTTCTTTTTTTGTTCCTGCTCTCCTAGGTGCTGTTGGTGATTGGAAGAACCATTTCACTCCAAAACAGAATCGAAAGTTTGAGGAGATATTTAATGAGAAAATGAAACTCAGCAAAATGGCAAAAAGTCTTACCTATGAATTTTGACTCCGTGTGAAGAACAATACCCAGTTATCAACAAACACAGATAGAGCAATTGGTGGGAAATTCTAAATGGGGGCTCCTATTCAGTTTATAACCCTCCCAATAGAAAGGATTGTAAATATGAGATTTTGAGGACAGGAAAATTTTGACACAATATCAGAGCTGAACTCGGTTTTCAGCAGGCAGATGTATATAGTTTTACTGAGTCAGGTGTCAGACTGATTTTTCTACAACCAAATCTGCTTTATCATTTTTTTTTTTTTTTGCTCTAGAGGGATACGAATGGACTTCTTAGATCTCATTTAGGAATTTTACCTAAGATGTTAAGAAAAAACCAAAAAACAAACTCGTAAGAATCTGAATATAAAAAAAGTCTAAAAACACATCATAAGAAAATGACAAAAGATTTGGCCCCGGAGTCGCTCCCTCCCTGATCTACCATGATTTGGAAAGTGTCTATCTTATCAGACTTTGTTATGATACTGAAGTTGAAAACTGCAGCTGTGCATTTGAAGATCTGGAGTGAAGTTTGTTTATAAAATGTTTTGGGGTTTTTTTTTTACAATATGTAGTTCTTTGATGTAACTTATTTCTGGATTATGTACTGTATAGTGTTTGTGTTTTAAATGCAACTGATATAAATCCATGTAAATTTCTGCATCATATGTTGGAGAACTATAAACATGGTTTTTTTCCATTTGACTTTCTTCTTGCAAAATGCTTGTTTCCAGTGTTTTGATGAGAATCATTTTACTTCACAGTCCTTGTGCAAGAGAACTCAATAGTTCCACTGTGGCAAACAAACTGCTACTCAGAGACAGTTTAATCTGAACACAACTTATTTATTTACCCTGCCCTGATAAGACAGATTTTCCAAGAATCAGCTGTCTGTGTTCACATCCAAGGGACTGTTCTAGGAACTCAGTGAAGATTTTTCTTGTGGTTTATTCCGTGATGTGTTTTCTGTCCTCACCTTCAATTTGCTTTGCAGGCTGGCTTTAAGGACTCTTCTCTCCAAACCAGTTCTCCCCAACAATATGATTCCAAGGCATCAGCAGGCAGAAAAAAATGTAGGAAAAGCTGTTCAAAAAGAAACTCATGCAGACAAGCACGATTACTCCGCTTTGACTCCTGTGTGCTCTGAAGGCACACATCTGCAAGGCAAGCTCATCTTCTGGGTGTGCTGTTTCTGAAAAGCTGAGGTATGACCTTATTTACAGGGACCACTGATGCTCTCTCTAGCCACACATTTCACACTTGCCACGCAGCCCTTTCATTTCATACCTTGCTTGTGCAAGCTGACATCAATACCCACCGATTTTGCATCTGCACAAATCATACAGAAGTTACGTGCTGAAGAGATCAGTGAGAGAAAAGCCTGATCAATAGCAGTCCCTTGCCATTTACCAATTCAACACAATTTAAGGGAGATGCTGCCCTGAACACTGTTTTATGCAAATAACCCATTTGGAAACCAGAAGTATGTTTGTGTTGCATTGCTGTTCTGACACTAAAATCACTCTCTCTCTCTCTAAAATGCCACGAACCACAGTCGCCCTCCTTTCAGGTGTCATTCTTCCACTACTATCCACTACTTCCAACAAATGGCAAGAGATCAGCTAATGATGATGCTTGAACATTTTAGTTAAAGACTTATTTTTTCTAGCCCTTTAAGTATGGAAAAAGCCAAAGTGTCCTTGGGCAAACGAAGTTTGCAAGCGAGTTTATTAACTGCATTAAGACGACTGCTGTAAGCAGCATTTATATGTATATTCACAGTATGAAACTGTGTGTGGAGGAACAGGGCGAGGACATGCCATGTGGATCAATGAGGGGGTTAAAGCGTACAGTCCTAACTGGCTGAAGGGATAGCATTCGAGTATAAGGTAGCGAGTGTTTTGCCAGCTGTCTGACCTCTAGCACTGCATTGCAGAGTTAAATGGACTTTCAAAATAAAGTTCCTCTCAGTAACACTTGGTACTCACACGGCACTTTAATCTCCAAGTATAGCTTTACTCAAGCTTTACGCAACGCAGCCACACCTGAGGAAGAGTGCAGCAACTGGTAGGCAGTGAGTAACAGCCAAAAATGTAGCTTCTGCTAGTAAAACTACAGGGTAGCAGGACCATCCTGGCACTGGCACAGCTCAGTGCAGCTGCAGATAGTGTAGCAAAAATGGCCTATGTCAGAGGTCCAGAAAGCTAGGCTGGGCCCTGTTCCTAAAGGATGGGGATATGTGATGATAGCCACTGGCAACCAGGGTCTCCCAGCAGTTGCTACACCTACCATTTCTTTCATCCTCTTTTCTCTTGCTCTCCCCACTGTGCTGCTGCTCCCCTTCCCCTTCCTATGGCTGTAGCACACACACACACACCGCCCACTAAGAGGGATTCAAACTGACTTTTTCAAAGAGTTGTCAACCTGGCTCCACAAGTCATTTTGGCAGGTCATGGAGATGTCAACAATTTTTCAAAACTTCCATAACAAGGTGGTGTAAAAATGTCTCTTCCCCTCTCTGTTTTTATTCCTTTTTTCTATGATGGTTACAACTTTTGGAGAGAGAAAAATTTCTTCCTAACAGGATATAAAAATACTGAATACTGGTCCAAAATGTATCTAGACCACAGTAATACTAGGTTTGGAAGAAACAAAGCCCTGTGCAATCTCTATTACATGTAAATGGTTACAATACTGCTTTCCTATTCGGGTAATATATTTCATCTTCCTGAGTAAGGGTTCTTCTGAAGATTGATTTAATTAGGGAGGACAGCATTAAACATTTATGCCATCAGAGCTGCGACATGAAGCTTCTACCCGCTGTTGTTGAAGTTAGCCTGCTTTGCTTGCTACCCAGGCTTACCTGGCCTTGGGGTCAGGTGAAAAAGAGAGCAAGAGCATCTGAAGGGCTAGAACTCTTGCGAGAGGAATGCATGAATTCCAGGCCTTGCTTCAAGGACTTTTTTCCCTGAAAACATCACATAACTGTCTTCTAAAGTAGCTCTCGGAGAAGAAAAGGTGCCCAGGTAAACATCCTAGCAACCTGACTTTAAGTCACGTCAGTTCTAATACAATGAGTTCGATGCCTAAAGCAGTTTCTTGGAGGAAAACAATGACTGGTGAAAAAACCTCTCAGAATAGCTTCAGGAACATCTTGTAGAAGAGGCAAGCGAGTCTGGAGAGGTGAGGGCAGGAAGGATCTGAGCCAGTTCTGGTAATCTTTGAAGCCAGAAGTCATAGGAAAATAGGGAAGACTCAGGGCAGGAAATCAATTGGTGGGTTTCTGCACTGGGTCTAAGTAGAGCGAAGATGCTCGGGGGATGAAGACAAGGGTTTACTTGTAACCATCAGTCAGCTGGAAAAGTAAACATGGAGGACTAGGAGGAATTTCCATGGGGCTCGCTTCATGACCAGCCGATGACAGAGGAAAGATAGTCACAAAGAGCAAAGGGCACTCCTGCTGCAAAGACCCAGTGGGGACGGGGTGGGAGGAATCAAGCTTGACAGAAAGGGCTGAGTGTGGGAGTGAAGGCGATCACTGAAAGACCGTGTTCAGAAAAGGGGAAAAGGACTGAGCAGCCATATCACTCTTCCACCAGTTCCAGCCTCACAGGTGACCACAATCCACCTTCTTTCAAGGGACCAGCAACCATGAGAGATGATTCTGCAGCAACTTCTTTATTAATTTTGATAGGAGACAGTCACCCCCTTTCCCTGAATCTGTTTACCTGTGCTGCATACTGCAGAGGACAAACTGTAGGAAAGGACAGTGAAAGTTGGTGGGTGTGCATGGTGAGACACTGCCCCTCCCGGGCTCCCGAGGAAGACACTTCTCCTTGGCCAAGCAGAGAGGAGTGGCGGCACCTCACGGCCCCAGTAGGGAGCGAGCAGGAGCACCCAACAGCTGCTTGAGTGAAAAATCCAGTGACAGAAAAGCATGAAGTCACAAATTACATTGCCATGCCTCCTTTCGGCCTCTTTCCAAACTGGTCCCGCAGGCCAATGCTAAGTGGAGAAATAGCCGTCTTGGAAATGACCGCAACCCATGGCACCAGAGACATGCCCACTCTGGCGCGGGCTCTGCAGCCATCTAGCAAGCTTTCTGCCGATAAAAAGGGAAGCAGCGCTGCCTCCAAAGGGAACAGAAATGTTTGTTCTTCACTGACATCTATTGATTGCAGTGTTTTAACTGCAAAGCTCTGCACAAGAATTAGGCATTTATTTTTGCAGGATGCTGCGGGGCTCAAAAGCAGAAGCAGACTCTGAAGGGAATCAGACACAGCTTTGAGGGGAGCAGGTCTGTCTCCGGGACAGTCCTGATGCATAGCCTGCTTAAGAAGTCCTTCATTTTTGACTGACAGCATCTGCAAGGATGTACCTGGGAATGACCAGTCTGCACCACTGAGAATCTACTAGCAGTCACAGCAGAGACAGGATGATGGGACAGATGATGGCATTCACATATTCATGTAAGCAAATATTAATGCTTAGGAGTAATAAAAGCAGATTTTCCTTTTCTGCCTGCAAGGCCTTGCACGAAAACAAAGGCTAACTCTGTCATTTGCGACCTTGGTAAACTACTTAGACCTAATCCAGGTCTACCTAGCCAGGTAGGTATCACTGTGCTGCTTAAACTGCAGTTAGTTGCCTAGCTGCTTAAGAGGGATGAGGAATTAGTCAGTCTACAGCATTGCCTACTGGCTAAATTAAGGATTTACCTATGTTACAATAAAAAATTTTTTAAAAAGCACAGCAGGACTTCAGCAGGTGAACGAAGCACAATATAAAGCTAGCTTAAATATCTCTGTGCTATCCAAGCTCAGACACCAAAGACAGCAGCTTAATTGATGCAGCCCAGACTTGAGTTCCCCTGCTTCTCGGCAGGGCATCAGTAAACCGCCACACAGATCCAGTCAGCTCGTTGTTCTCTACATTGCCATGCATTGCCTGCAACTTTGCCCTGAAAACCCCTGAAATCTCTTAGCCTTCATTATAAATCAAACATG